TTTTGGAAGACAGACGGGTCTGGTTCCTCCATGGGGGAGCCGTCTAACATATGCACCTGCCAGGGAATCCCTGCGGGCACTTGGGTAGTTAATCCAAATATATAGTATGCATACCTGTCTCCTGCCATGACAGGGTGCCAAAGGCACCCTTGGTGAGTTGATAAGCTGATTTGTTTTTACTTATTCTGAAAGATTTATTTTACTTAACAGAGCTAGGGAGAGACAGAGGTCTTTCATCTCCTAGGTTACTCCCTAAATGACAGCAATGGCCAGAGTTGGGCTGGCCTGAAGCAGGAAGGCAGGAGCCTCTTCCTGGTCTTGCATGTGAGTGTAGGGGCGCAAGGCCTTGGGCCATCCTCCACTGGATCAGAAATGGAAGAGCTGGGACTCATGCCAGTGCCCGTAAGGGATTTTGGTGCTGCAGGCACCACAAGCTGGCTTCTTAGACCTGACATTCCCTTTGAGGGGTTAACTCTGCCTCATTTACCCATGTAGAATCTACACTGAAGATGCTGCGTGATTTCGGATCCCCTAGGCAGACGCTGGCTCTCCCTCCCTGCTCTTACATTGGCTTTGCACAGCATTCACCCGGTGCTCAGGTTGGTGCAGTGCAACCCCCTGCATCTTTGCATTTCTCCTTTCCGGCACACAGGTGCATCTGGGAGGAGCTGAGATGTGAGGTTGTCTTGCTGTGTTCCTTGGAAAGAAGCCCGGAGGTGTGACGACGAGTCAGCAGGGGACCAGCAAGCAAGGTAGTACATGTCAGAGCAGCACATGTCCAGTGAGTGCTTGTTCAGGCTGTCTCCCTCCAGCCACACCCAGGAAGAGCACCCCCTTGTTCACCTCACGGATGATCCAGACTTGCTACTGCTGTTGGCGCAGCTCCCAGGGGACATGGCTGCACATGGATGTGTCAAACTTCTAGTGCTGCTGTTGCTACTTCCCAGCCCTCATCTCAAGAGCTCCATCTTGACCCTTTGACTTCGTTCCCACAATATGGGCTCTGATTTGGCCGGCGGCACCAGGAGCACAGCTGAAGAATGTTTGCAAAGTAAAATGTCTAAGTAACTAGACAGCTTCATATACAGTCTAAGAGCCAGACAGTGGCACAAGTTGTAATCTGGGTAACTGCAATCTGCATGTATTTTAATTGTAGACAGAGTTTTAAAAAAATATTTATTTTTATCGGGAAGGCAGATCAAATTAATGGAGAGGAGAGACAGAGAGAAAGATCTTCCATCTGCTGATTCACTTCCCAAATGGCAGTAATTGCTGGAGCTGAGCTGAGCTGAGCTGAAGTCAGGAAACAGGAGCTTCTTTCAGGTCTCCTACATGGGTGCAAAGTTCCAAGGCTTTGGGCTGTCCTCTTCTTTCCCAGGCCACAAGCAGGGAGCTGGATGGGAAAGTGGAGCAGCTGGAACAGGACCCAGTGCCCATACAGGATCCCAGTGCATGCATACTGAGGATTTAGCCATTGGTCCATCATACTGTGTTAAATTTTTTTTCATTTGCTTTGGGCCTGGTGTGATGGCTCAATGGGTCTTCCGTGTGCATGCAGGGGCAGAAGTAATGGGATCATCATCTTCTGCTCTCCCAGGTGCATTAGCAGGGCAACCAGATGGGAAGTGGAGCAGTCAGGACTTGAACTAATTCCCATGTTTTGCAAGCATTGCAGACAATGGGTAAACACTGCTTTTGCAAGGTGCTGGACCCAATTTCAGTGTGAAAAGACCTTCACCCCTAAGTCTTTGTGGAATCCAGGGAATTAAACAATGACTTCCAAGCTCCTTGTCTGCGCTTTGCAACACTTTCTTCCACCACCCTGATGTTAGTTGACCTGCACATGAGGCAAGTAGATCTGGATTTGGGGTGTTGTTTTGCAACATCATGCACTCTGCAGAGACATCAGAGAACTGAGGCTTCTAAGGGTTCCCAGAATCCCTCACAGTCTCCTTTTCATCTCTGGACTCTTGGGCCATGAGATGAGCTGAAGACATACTACAAACTTCAGTGGGGGGAGTTGCCAGCGAGAGCCTGGCAATGGAGGGAATGGCTCGTGTAAATGAGTATCACAGAAAGTATCATAAAAGGTCTTCAATGTGTAAGGGTCAGTGCTGTGCTCTGTTTCAGTTCATATGAGAAATTCCCTGAATTCACTTTTCAGGAATATGTCCTTAGAAAATTCTGTTTAACATATAGGGGGCTGTGGTGGTGCTGGAAGCATCTGGAGCCTGGGGACTCATGCTGGGGGCTGGCAGAGCTGGCCTGGGAACTTGCACACGTGATTGGTACTGGGCTGATGGGTGGCTTAGGACCTTAGGCTGGCATGCTGGCAGGCTGTGCTGGTGGACCATGCTTAAGGACTGATGAACGTTGGGTGGGTGGGTGGGTGGGCAGGAGATAGGTCCCAGGCCAGTATGTGTGCCAGAGGATTGGGTCTGGGACCCTTGTATGTGCTTCAGTCCCGGATGGGCCAGCAGGACTCCAGGTCAGCATGCACCCTGCTGGAAGACCAGGCTGTGGAACCCATCTAGTCATGGGCCCAGGAGCTGTGGATTGCTCAGGAAAGGGGGTACAGGATGTGAAGGAGGGGAGACTACTGAGGGGGTACATTGCAGGTGAGGAATGACTTCTGAGAGACTTGCACCCAGACAAGGCCACCATAATTGTAGGTAAGTATGGGAGCTGAGACCAAATGGTTTTGAGAGAAACTGGAGTACCTTTTTTGATCAAACCAATGCACCTGACTATGTGGGAGACCTGAGCTGGGCTAGGTAATACCGATCACCACCAACCTTTGTTCATGTTTCATGATGCACATGAAAGTTGAGCCCGGGGGCCTGACAGGGCTAGACCACAGTACCTGCCAGTGAGTATTGGAACAGATGGGTCACATTAGGCTGGGCCATGACACAAACAGCATGCAGGAGAACCTGCTCTGGGAACAGATTCTGTAGGGGATATTTGGGCTCACCCTTGTAGGACTGCATTGTCTGTTGGTTTGCTCAAGAACTGGGTGGTGACAGGCAAAATTCCATGAAATTCTCTAACACTAATGGGTTCTGGGGTTAGGAATAGGCCAGGCCAGACCAGTCCAGGCTGCAGCACCCACAGGCCCACACAAGAACTGGATGTGGGGTGGGCCAGTCTGCAATATGCACCAACACACAAAGGCCAAAACTGGTGAGGGGGACAGACTTTGCTGGATAAGGGCCTAGCATCCACTGGCATGCATGAGATCTGTGTCTGGTAGTGAGCCTGGTGGGGAAATGTGGAGCCTGGTGGGCCACAGCTCTCACTGGTGAGCACATGAGCCTGGGTTGGGCATCAGTAAGGCCATGCAAAGCTGCTCTATTTGTGAGCATGTGTGTGTGTTGGCTCTGGGTGGGTAGAGGGGACAAACTGGGCAGGGCTGGGCCAAACTGTAGCACACTGGTATGCACAGGAGCCAGGATGGGGTGTGGACCATGTTGGTCCAGGCCATCACACCTACTACCTTACAGTGAAAGCCAGGGATGGGGGGTATGCTGGGCAGGGCTAGGTTGTAGCAAACACCATGAGTGTTGGGACTGGGAGTGGGTAGGGCAGGTCAGGCTGCACCATTCAATGGCAAAGGCTAGGCTGGGAGATGGGCTATGCCAGGCTGAGTCACAGCAACCACTGGCATACACAAGATCTGTGTCTGGGAGCAGGCTGGGATTGGGCCTAGCAGGAAAAATGTGGGCACCCCTCTGATGGGTTGCAGCTCTCACCAGTGAGCATGAGAACTAGGGCTGGTGGCATACTTGGTTGGACAGGTGGTAGCACCCACAGGCATTAGTTGGGCCAGGTAGTGGGGTAGGTTTGGTTGAACTGGGCAGCAGCCCCCACTGAATGGACCAGTCTGCTGCATATAATGACTTGCAGAGGTACCAGGGTTGAGGGTAGGTTTGGTGGGTATTACTGAGGCTAGGCTGCAGTTCCTGCTGCTGTATGTGAGGGCTGAGCGTGTGGTGGGTAGAGAGAGGCTGGGCCACAGCATCTGTTGATTTGTGTTAAGAGATGGGACTGAGGACAGAACCGACTGGGTGACTGCAACAACCAGGGGGAATGCAGACTCAGGTAGGTGACAGGGCTGGACACTGCACTGGCTGGCACACACAGGATTCATGTCTGGTGTCACTTCTGGTAAGGTGTCCCCATACCTCAACTCTTCCTGCCTTCACCTGAGGCCCACATGACTAAACCTCCTTCTTAACCACTTAAATATCACCAAAAGTAAAACAAGCTTATATGCAAAAAAGGAATATATAAGGTCAGTGCTGTGGTGTAGTAGGTAGAGTTGCCACCTACAAAGCAGCCATCCTATGTGGTCGACGGTTCAAGTCCCTGCTGTTCCACTTCCAATCAAGCTCTCTGCTAACACACCTGGGAAAGCAGTAGAAGATGCCCGAAGTGGAAGAGCTGGGAGAAGCACCTCGCTCCAGGCTTTAGCCTGGCACAGATCTGGTCACTGTGGCCATCTGGGCAGTGGTGAAAGATCAGCAGTTGAAAGCTCATGCTCTGCCTCTTCTGCTCTTTCAAATACATAAATAAAAATTTTAAAGGGAACCCCCCCCCCGTTTATCCCCAGTTCTTGAAATCATACATGTTAAATACCCACAGGCTTCGGTTGCATCAGGTATTCCTCCATAAGGCTGTTTTAAAAAGATTTGTCTGCACATAATAAAAGCCTTACCTACACATAATAAAAGTCTCCATTTATGTGACTTCATAATAAAACGCTATGTACTCTGAGAACCATTTTTAATTTTCTACCCTGCCAAGATTAAAAAAAGAGGGGCGGGGGTCACAGCAGTGCCGGGCTTGTTTTCCCAGGGCTGTCCTTGTGGACAGCGGTTCTCAAATGACCCTCTGCCGCTGCTGATGGCATCTTGCCTTTCCAACCTGTGTGACTCCTGACAGCCAGTCACCAAGGGCAGCACCGCTGGACATGAGGCACTCAACACGGGCAGTCTGATGAAAGCCATTTTATTCTTCCCTAAATAAATTTCTTTTAAAATAAAAGAGTTTAATGGAAAACACTTTAGTACTGTCATGTGGCCCTGAATGCCAGCAACGCCTGAGCTTGACATACACAGGAAGCCAGTCGGTAGGACAAACTTCTTCATGGTCCTTCAACAGTGCATGTACACAATACTCTACTAGTTTGCTTTAGCACAGAATTTAAAACTTTCTGTTTTCTGTATGAACATCTAAAATTAGGTCCTATATTTATTAGTAGAGTTAGAAAAATAAAAGCTTTAAAAATTTCATGGTACTCATTCATGATGCTAATCACATAATCATTTCAAACATAAGATGATTTTAAAAATTCCTACATTAATAGCCTTCTCAGTTTAACTTAAAAGGCTTAAGACTCAAAATCTAGTAAGACTGTTAATGTACATATAAATTAATTTTCACTTGCCTTGGGAGAGTTAACTCCCACTGTCCACTGAACGAGCGCCTTTCAAATATTAATACATATGTTACAGTATTTACAAACATTCCTACATACTCTGACACTGATAGGAAGGGAAGCACAGATTTCCCAACACGGTAACTCATGGCGCTGGTACCGGCAGAAGTAAGAGCAGAACAGCAGGGAACAGGACAGAAGAGGGACCCTGCGAAGGCAGGTTATAAGTGAGAACAGAAAGTGCTGCCTGAAGTCAGACGAGGCTAAGGACTTCAGAATTTAGCTGCGTTAACTCCCATTTCATGGGGAGAAGAGCGAACTCAAGAGTATGGAGGAACAGGTATGTGTCATGGGTGAGACAGGGTTAAATTAAATGCAAGACTTTGTGTTGGCACCCAAAATAATGTGAACTAAAATCTCTACAATTTTAACTGTGCCTAGGCCTTTCCTTGGCTACTTTTTGCAAATTGTTTCAGATGGACACACCGCATACTTGATCTCCTTAATGCACCTGGTAAAGCGCCTTACCACTGTTGGCATTCACATTTGATGCCCTGTGAAGAGGGGGGTCACAATGCTAGAATCACCTTGCCCCGCATTATAAAGCTCAAGAAGACAAATTTACTGAGTCTCTTCTTGTGAAGGTGAACAAAATTCTCACTGGGGTGGTTTAGTCATTGCTTTAAAAAGCATACTTCACTCCAGGTAGCATATCATCAGACACAGGCAAGCCACCACCTTCTCCCTGAACCATGAGAAGGTCAAACCAAGCAGCCAGCAGGGAGGTGGCTAGCTGGCTGGAGTATCAAGTTCAGGGCGTCTCCTAGAGAATTTTCTAAATGGCATTTCCCTGGTATAATTGTTAGAGCTCCTAAACAACAGTTGTGAATATAACGGAAGCTTAACTGAGTTTATGTAACCGACAAGGGTTCTTGGGTGGCCCATGTTTACATGCATATATAGAAGGACTGTTAACATGCATTATTTTAGCCAACTGTTAAATTTTATTTCATTAAGTAATTTAAAGCCATTTACTAAATTTAAAATTTAAAGTCGTGAAAAATTACTTACTGGAGCAGTTCCGAGGTATTATCGTTAACTTAAAGAGGAAATGTCACTGTATTCTGATGCAGTATGAAATGTGACTGCCATGCCTTTTGTTAAATGGTGCTGTCACAGTGTTGATTGCATTTGTGTTCTGTGCCTTTCAAGAAATCATTGTGTATGTGTACTGTCTGATTTTTCCAACATTCATGGCAATTTGAGTTGGTTGCTCATTTCCAAGCATAATCAAAATAATAAAGTCCATGGTTTGGGTCAAAGAAACAGAAATTTCAGGTGTACAAAGCTGCCCTTCAATTTACCATCATCAAAAACTCAACTCATTAATTTGAGTCATTTGTAAGCAAAGCTAGTTGCGAAAAGCAGCCAAAAACTTTGCCTGTCAGCAGGTTAATTCTTAGGGGAATAATTGCAAAAGAGCTAGATTTTTTTTTTCTTTCAAAATTCATTTATAAAAATAAATTTCAGTTTGAGATTTTAGGTACCAAATTGTGACTGAATTTAGTCATGATGGCTCACTATAAAGTTGTGAAAAATGTTGAAAATGCCTGATGCCAGCTCATTTCCCTCCTGGCACCCTATGCTGTTCCAGCTCTTCTCACAGTTAACCAAAATACACTCAACAGCTTGACAGGTTTGTCGCCTTCCCTTGTCCTGAAATTCCTACAAAACTTAGCTCCCAGACCTCCCATTATAAAATTCCTAGTATCCGTTATTGTACGTCTATGACAGGGAAGCAAAGTGTCACCCACTCATGAGACACCTGATCAGAGCGCCAGGCGGACGCTGGCTGCTCAGAGGAAATGGCCGTCCTCATGGGCACACAACTTATTGCGATGTCCTGCACTAGGACGCAGCCTTGAAGTCCCACAGGCATTTTTTTTTTTTTAATCTCAGAGCAACAATAATTCAGAAACCAGCTGAGTGGTTGTTGGTTTTGTGCTGTGAGGCGATGAAGAGCCTGGCCCGCCTCCTGCTGCCCGGCGTACGGCAGGGCTCTGGGCTGCTATGTACATAAGGTAGGAACACTGTCATGTGGAAATGCCAATATGACTTACTGCTTAAAACTGTGCTAACATCGACACCTCTGTCACACTGATTTCTCACGTGAGAAGCTTTTTGCCTTAGTCAAGAAATCGTTTGAAGAAGGATAAAGAACTGAGCCAAGGAAAAAGTGTCAGGCTTCCAAATCCACACATTCACAGAAGCAAGTTTCAAACTCTCGTCCTCTCTCAGTGCAAATGAGCAACTGGCTGACCTGTCACACGGATTCAATCGACATGGACACAGCAGTCTGTGTAACAATGCGATTGCGGTAGAAGTCAGATCGAATGCAACTTCACACCTGTTCAATGAGACTGCGGGGAGGAGAGCCGGTCTGGGTCAGTGTTCTTGCGCACGAATGCCAACCTGGAGACAAAAGCAGCTGCAAGGCACAGGCTCAGATTTCATTGATAGTCCTCTCGGAAGGGCAGTACTCTGAGGGGCCTGCTGAGGACATGTAGAAGGACTGTGTTTTCCTTTTCAACCGGGCTCTTTTGTTGGCCAGCACCAGGCTGCGCCGGCTTGAGCTGATGATTTCCGAAATGAACTTTTTGCAGTCTACGCACACTTCCATGGTGCTCCAGTCCTCCATGAGCTCCTTGGGAAACTGCAGCTCTTCATCTGATCTGTCCACAGACTTGGATTTTGAGGAGAACCTAGAAGAAGAACCCCATGTGTGTCTAGCATCGTTACTTAATACTTAATCTTGTAATACTTACAAGATAGGAACAGCTGCTGCCAAATCATCGAGGAACGAATGAGTGTTTTCATATGTCATGTTTTTCCAAAGAATACTTTTTTTTTTAAAAAAACTGGAGACAAGGTTAAAAAACATATAATTTTTAGTCAACAGAAAACCTATTTGATTTCAAAACAATATTGAGAATGGTTTTCCTTCTAGAACTTCTGAAGTTCACAGTGTTCACCTCATCATCATACAAATGTGGACTGTCAATTTCGGCAACTACAATCAGTTGATGAACTACTGGGGCTTTGGAAGGTCTTGCAAGCTCTAACCCCGGGGATCCAAGGAGCCTGTGTCAGTATCAGTGAATGCTAAATTGGCAGCTCTCAGTATAAAGCTGTGTTTCTGCTTTTATGATAGTGAAGGAAGTCAAAGCTATTGACAAGCAGTGTACACACAGCATTAAAGAAACTTTCCTGCAGAACTAGGGAAGAGGAAGAAGGATTAGACTTAGTTCAGTGAACTTCACTGAAAACAACAGTTTTAAATGTGGATAGATGTTTATAGAACACAGAAGCTAAGTGTAAAGCAGAAATAAATCAAACGATATGAATAAAGCATCCTTCTGGTATAGCATGATCCCTGGGAAATCACTTCTGGTTGCCTCAGAGATCTGCATGCCTGCACCTGGGTCCGTCCGGAGGCGCAGCATCCTTTGTGCAAGGGGCCGGGAAGGTGCACACACTCACTCACCTGGCGATGCTCCGAAGTGGCCGGTGGTGGCCGGTGGAGGGCTTTTCTGGCCTCACGCAGCTTTCTCCTCTTTGCAAGGTAGAGGGTCCCAATGAAAAGATAGGAAGCGTGGAGTATGGCTTGGAGGGTAGCCGCATCTATCGTGCCAAATAAAACCAAGCTTGTGCTAAGTACTCTTAAAAGATGCAGTCATTAAAATGAGCAGAAGTTACAGTTTAACTAAGTTCAGCTTACCTTTTTGCAACACTGTGAGCACACGGGCCTGTGTACAGAATCACAAATATTACTTGGTATGACACAAAGCATGTTTAAGGAGCAGAACGGCTGGACTGTATATTTTTACAATAAATGGCAAAAACCCAATCCTTATTAAAATATAAGAAATGACACAACTGCGGATTGTCAAATCTTATGTAAATAAGGATCAAGTTTATATCTGTTTCAAAATTTTTAGGGGTCCATCTTGGGATCACATATAGCATTTTTTGTTTAAACATATTATTAGAATCCTCCCGGTTGTGTAAAAGACATAATATGTCTTGGCATCTTTTCTAGGTCCAGCACTAAATCACTGTTTGGCCCAGATTTTTAAGCGAATCAGTATTCCTAACTGCAAGGGTAGCACACAGTAATAAAACAGAATAGTTAATTTCTAATATTATTTTTGAGTAGAAAAATAATGACATAGTGAAGGTGATTGGTATTGTTTTGTTTTATGATTTTAAAAGTGATGTTTTCATAAGTTATCAAGCACCTTACCTCTTACAGAACTGACAGGTGTAAGACCAAGTGAAGAAGGAAAACCTCCTGGTTCGGCAACAAAAGCAGAGCTAAAAGACACAAAGTTCAAAGGAGAAAAGCAGTATGGCTAAGAGTTGATCTGTCTCCCACGTCTGAGGAGGCTTCACAGCGGTAAGCGGGAGGAACTCAGGAGTAACTGTTGATGGCTGCTTGGTGTATAATGATAATAACTACTTTAAAAGGAGATAAAAGGCCAATCTCTCAAACATCTCACTGTTGTGGAAGTAATCCAAAGAAGGTTTCGCAAAAATCCTTCCTCTGTTTTTCAAATAGAGTTTTCTTTATAGCTCTCTTAAAGGTATGATGACTGGGACCGGCGTTTGGTCTACTGCCCCAATGATCACGTCCCACACGGAAGGGCCAGGCTTGCTCTGCTCCTGTCTGTAGTTTTCCACCAGTGCAGAGGCTGGAGGCAGTGAGGGCTCAAGCACCTGCGTGGGAGGCCTGGAGTCAGTGTTTTTGGCTCCTGGTTCTGGCCTGACCCAGTCTGGCTGTTACAGGCATTTCGGGACTGAACCATGATACGGCTCTCTCCTTGTCTCTCAAGTAAATTAAATGAATTTTAATAGTTGACCAAATGTGCCATTTTACAAAGGAGTATCATTTTTTATGGTATTTTTTCCACAGATGTTGATCTCCAAAAGAAAAATAAACAACCTCTTGTGAGTGAGGCAGAACAAGCATAACTATCTTTGAGAATCCAAACATCTTGCCTCCTAAGCTCCCTCGAGGGCCTATGCCATCTGGCTAGGAGCTCACATCCGGGACTGGCCATCCTGCCCTGCTGTTCAATGAGTGTGAAATGGCTCTACCTTTCCTTTTTTCAGGGCGGTGTAGACATCTTTATACTGCTGGTATTTCTCCAGTTCTGCCTTCACCAGGACCTGACGAATATGCATGACTTCCTCCACAGTGAGAGCAAGGCATTCCACTGGGTAGCAGAATTCCTCCTGAAATTCAAAACTCCGCGTAAGACACTTCTCTTTGCTGCAGAACTGCAGAACCTCCCTTCAGCTCAGACACCTGGGTTAGTAGATTCAGAGAAAAGAAGAGGTTTCCCATGATCACTGGGACAGAACTGGCTCCCTCTGGGGACCACATCATTTGTAATTACGTTGAGGCCACAGAAAGCAACAAACTTCCAGGGGACCATGTGAAACTGCAGCCTTTGCAATTTCCAATAAATCTACACTTGTCGTGTTTAAATATTATGCCTCTTGTAACTTTATTCCATTAAGCAGAACTATGTATCTATTCTTGAAATCTTCAAAAAAATCTTGTTCTAAACCAACTTATACAGGTTTTCTTTTGTGATTATTCCAAAACATAACATTCAGTGTTTTGTTTTACATTCTGTTATAAACCGCAGATCTACAACGCTAGTGGCTCTGTGTTAAAAACTAGTTCGTGGTACCCAGAATAGCCAGAAGAAAGTGGTTAGTAATGTATACCGACAAGCATTATTTAGTGGTCAGTTACATCAGCACGCACTTCACAGAATCCTCCCAGTGTAAGTGGAACTGGAAGGCCAACAGCGAGGCCTGCAGCCCTGTGGGACTCTCTCCTGGCTGTCTGCCCCTCCAGTTCTCTGAATTCCTGCTATTACTTTTCAGCAACTGCTGATTGTGCAAATCAGCCCTGGGAGGCTGTGGAGAGACTGAGGAATTTAATAATATTTATCCTGGCAGTGTTATGTTAATGGCTTCCCTAAAAACAGCTGTGAAAGATGTTGATGTAACTGATCCCATTGAGTGGGAGCCTCAGGCTCATCCGCTCGCCATCCGGCCACACTTGATTGGAGGATCTAAGAGAAAGACAGAACAGTCTTGTGCATTCGGGCTCTGCCAGGCTTCAAGGGGCCATTGTGGTGCAGTGACACTGAAACTGAATGTTCTCAGCACAAACACATTACAATTCACTCCCCCCAAACACACAATAGCATCGCTCACAGGCTTCTGGGGACACAAACAAGCCAAATGGGAAAGCACATGACTATGAATGTGGACAGTTTATGGAGTTTTAACACTCAGTTCTGTCTTTCAATCAGAAAAAAAAAATTTAGGTTGCGTCTTGGCAAACATTAGCATTTATTAAAAACTGCAGGTGGGAGAACTACTGCTCTTTATTGAAAATCAATCCAAAATCAACTCGTCATGCTAACATAAAGGATTTTAAATTAGCTAAAAAAAATGTTCCCAGGGAAAAAACCCTGTATTTGTAAGATAGGAGTATACTACTATTTGGAGGGAAGGGGGTGGTTTCTTCCAACAGATTACATCATATACTCGAAGATGCCCAAAATACTCATTTAAGAGAAAAAAAATCACTCATCACACTTTTTTTTTTCTTTCAATAAGAAAAACTTTCACAAATGAGAGGATTAAATTGGCACATTCAGTAATCTACTCGGTTTGCTTCAGCCTGAGGAAGCAAGAGTGGAGTCACGTGGGAACAACAAACTGCCTCTCTGACGGTTAAAGCCATTGAAATCAAACCCTGGGATTGGCACTGTGGTGCAGTGAGTTACGCCACTGCATGCGACGCCAGTATCCCCTGAGTGACAGTTTGAGTAATGGCTGCTCCACTTCAGATCCAGTCCCCTGCAAGGCGCTTGGGGAAGCAGCAGCAGATGGCCCAAATGCTCGAAACCAGATTAGAATACCAGGTTTCTAGCTTCAGCCTAGTTCAGCCCTCTTTATTATGGCCATTTGTGAGATTCAACCAGTGAACGGAAGGTTGTTCTCTGCAACCCTGCCTTTCAAATGAAGAAATTCTTAAGAAAGGAAAAACAAACAAACAAAAAACTCCACACAACTGAATATAAACTTAGTAAGGCGTGGCAGCTAAACACATCCGAACGACAGCCCCACTCTTCACATATTTCAGAAACAATTTTCCTAAGATCATTTTTATTTAACAGCGAGGAACATGAGTAGGATACATTTTCTGATAGCTTAATTAGCATGTGACAAAACTGCTACGCTCTTACAAAGCAGTGTTTGAATCTAGCAAATAACCAGATATTCACTACTGATTTTGTCATCTCACAGAAAACCAGGTAACCAGAGCTATTCTTCTGCTTGCTAGTAAGTATCAAAGAGTGCCAGTTTCCTTGATTTGGCAACTAAGATACCTGGGTATCTCAGGAGGGCAGTGACTCTTTTTCAGACACAATAAACCTGACAGCTTGAGCTTCCCTCTTCAGCCTCAAGTCACCGAGACGCTTAGTCAAGCACACTTTACCAACTTACTGCTTTGAATGACACACAAATCCAGAGCTGCAGAGGATGCAGTAAGAATTCCCAGGTTTTTGTTTGTTTTCTAATTTTTTTTCCCACATTAAAATTTATTAAGGGTATGAAGGAGGCTACTGAAACTTTAAAAATATGAAATCTTACGGTGTTTTGAGGCTTTAAAAACTTTTTTTTAACTGTGAAACACTTGTGGGGTGCTATTTTCTTTTTAAAAAATTTCAAGCACACTACTGGTTAGTAAAATAATTTTCATCAGGTCAAATGCTAATGTTTTAATTCTGGAGCTTTCCCAAGGACAACAAAACTTGAATGCAACATGAAAAAAAAAATCAGCAAATAGTTGCTGTAGAATGGCTTTCTCCCATCAGCTAACAAAAATATTAACTCAACATCCCCAACGCCACACTGAACTTGAGCTGCTCCTGTGCTGCTGATGTTGTTCTAAGGGGTGCACAGCACTCAGGGTTCAAATGGTGGGGGAGGGTCTCATACATAGGACATGGAACACAGGGGATCCCACTACCAAGCCCCCAGCCCATCTGAGTGGCAGATGGGGACAAAGGGTGAGGACCGTGCCAGCATAAACCTATTTTTCTTGTTGTATTCAAATGTGAATCCTAGATTTAGTGAAGGGGAAGCTAAATCTTTGGTTTTTAATAAGGATTACAACATACGGTAGAGTCAGACATGTCTTTAAATGGATTTGTATACATGTTACTAAAATCGCTGAGTTTTTGTTGAATATTCTGGTTACATTTGACCATTCAAAGAGGTTGAGACTGCACAGCACAGAGGCTACGGAGCATGTGGTAAAACCGTGCTCATGAGTCACGACAGACAGCGGCAGGGGAATCATGGTTTATGTGGTCTTCCTCATCAGCTGAAGCTTCATAGATGAGTAGCAGACAGTTGACTATTACCCGTAACAGCCACTGGTTTCTGGTTTCTAGTTAGCCAAAGGGAGGCACATTGAAGCAAAAACAGCAATTTTCAAGTTTAATTAAGGTTTAAAATTTGACGTAGTGTGTGGCCTTGCTGTACAGGACAGCAGGATGAGGCCGTCCTGACGAGTTACATTAAGGAGTGGTGAGAGTAAAATGCTGTCCTCTACACGTAACCACATGCTGCCCAAGGTGCTGGTCTAACTGAGAAGGAGGACAGGGACTGACCCCATATTTCAAGATAATTTTATTTGCCATCTGGTCTCTTTTCTACCTCAAGATGTGTAATAAGGAGGAGGAACAGAGAAGTTGGTGCTGGGTCATTCTGATGGGTACCCTGAAGGGTGCTACACTGAGGCAGGGGGCCTTGACATGGTTCCAGGGTTTTAAATTTCACTTCCCTGAAGGTTAATGTAATCTAGTACTAAAATACAACATTCAGTGTAAAATTCTTAACAAACGGTAAGAAAGCACACAATTATTTAAAATAACCACATCAACAGAAAGGAAACTGAAAACTTTCCTCTTCAGAGGAGCAACACCCTACCACAAGGTACTGGACACAGTCAGATGTTTGGCACCGGGAGGCTGTCTTTTGGGCATCTGGCCCTCAGAGCTTGGCTGCATGGCAGGAGCCACTCTGCCAGCTGAGTCAGTGACTGCTCTTCTGAAAGTGGGGGGAGACCCAGAGAAAAGCACCACTGGCACCCAGAGTACTTCCAACACATGGAGCTAGAAGGGAGCACTGCCCTGAGACAAACACCCAGGGGCCATCTCAATCTGATGCTGCATTTAGAGTTTGTTGTCCTTTCAAAGTCATTTCTCTCTCAGCTGAAATTGTGGTGGGATCTACGCATCCTACACAAGATTGGAATCAATGATCAGAAGCAAAGTGCCAGTCTAAGCTGTTAATTTCTCGCAGAGTGCAGTAGCTAGAGCATCACTGTTGAAACAGTACAGAGAGTCAAGTAGTCCCCAGAACCAGCAGAAAGAGGCCAACCTTTGCGGATTTCCACCTGCTGGTAAAAGCTCTCTCACACAGATAATACATAGCCCCTGCTACCCCAAACATGGCTGCTTCAAAAGGATGAGAGCTGAGCAGAGAAGCTGCTTGTATGGTAGAAAAAAGTGGTCGGAAAGGCGTCCTGGGCCATACACTGGTTATCCTAGGAACCTGAACAATAAATAAGGGAGAAAAGAAAATGGCAGGAAAAAAACGAAAAAGCAGAAAATAACGCTGAACACAGTGACCTACAAACAGTAACACAGAAAATAAATAACAAACAAAACAGAAAACCCCACGAGGATGGTAACAGTCCACACCATGTCTGCATCTGAGTATGTGGTAAGTCAGAAACCGAACCTTGAAGTGTTGCCCAGAGAGTGCAGAGACCACATTGCAAAGTCACATTTTGGATTGTTCCAGCTGGGTGGCCCTGTGAGCATTCTGAGTCCCCCCACTCAGGGGTGCTGGGCTGCAGGACAGAGCTAATGGCTTCCTGAGAAAGCACAGGGTACCAGGGGCGAAATTCATAAAGAAAAACTGTGCCTGGGTTTCAAGATTTCTTTGCACCAAAATATATTTATCTTCTAATTTCACTTTCCAACAAACTTTCTGAAGTTCCCTACTATACAACAAGCACTCTTACTTCGTGGCAGTCTACCTTAACCTAGAAGGGGAGTCACCCCCAATCATTAGGCCAAATGATTAAAAAAAAATACATTTCATACATCCTAAGGAAAGGGAAGGTGGTAGATTCTGGACCCTATGGAGTTGTACCAAAAAGTTAAAAAAAAAAAGTAAATCCAGATTTTCAAAAGTAAAGTGAAGCTAAAAATTCAAACTAACTACTGTACTTACCATGCTAGAGACACTACTTCTCATGTGTGTGTTTTTGGGAATCCCAAGATGGCTACTGTCAGCCTTACGCTCATTTTTATCTTTGTTGAAACTAGGAGGCACAGGGCAAGGGCCATCCTCTCTACCCCTCCGTGGACCTGCTCCTTGTCCCTCAGCGTAAGCCCCATCTAGGCAGACCTGGGAGCTCTCCCACTGCCTGTTCAGAGATCCTGTGTACTGACTGCGATTGTTCCTTCTTGCTCTCCTTGTTTAACTGCAAAGTATGTCATACAGGATTACAGTCTGCCCAAGCAAGAGTTCAGCTTTGCCAGTTCCCTGCTATGGGCTGAATGTTTGGCCTAACCTCTGATATCAGCTAACATGACACTGTGCTTGATAATTCTTTCACGCTGATATTTTTTGGGGTTTAAGTCTGTCTGCAATAATGATGCTATATGATCATAAGCGTCAAGTTAAAGTTGGCGAAATGATATACTGATTTCTAGGAGTGGTTGAGTCATGGATAACTGGACTCATGAAACATCATCAAGGAGTCCTCTATCAAATACATTTTTTAAAGATTTATTTATTTTTATATGAAAGGCAGATTTACAGAGAGAAGGAGAGACAGAATGATCTTTCATTCTCTTGTTCGCTCTCCAAATGGGTGCAAAGGTTAGAGCTGAGTCAATCTGAAGCCATGAGCCAGGAGTTTCTTCCTGGTTTCTCATGGGGGGAGGGGGTGTGCAGGGACTTCTTTCTCAGGCCAAAAGCAGGGAGATGGATGGGAAATGGAGCAGTAAGTACATGAACCAGTGTCTGCAGGGCATACTGGCACCTGCAGATGGGGGATTAGCATATTTTTAAGCTGTGACAGTAACAGAGATTATGGTAAAGCAATGACTTATTCATTTTTTAAAAAGTTTTAAAATACGCAACTAGATGGTGCTGGTCAGTTATGCTTTTCTTTTGCAAACCACTAACAAGGCAGTACTCAACATTTTATCAAAACAGCATTTTTTTTTTTTCTAGTGAGCATACCTGGGTTAGAGGAATCCTATTGGAAATTGTCATAAAATATCAGCTGTTAAGTAGCGCTGTTTTGGAATAGAGATGACTGAACAAATAACAACCCTCTAAGTTCTATTCAAACTTCCTGCGTTGGGGTTGGCAATGTGGTGAGGCAGTAAACTACTCCCATATTGAAGCACTGGCTCGAGTTCTGGCTGCTCTGCTTCTAATTTAGCTCCCTGCTAATTCACCTGGGGAGGCATCAAAGGATGGTCCAAGTACTTTAGCTTCTGACACTGCGTAGGGGAAACATGGTTGGAGTTCCTGGCTTCTGGCTTTGGCCTGGCTCAGCCCCAGCTGTTGTAGCCATTTGGGGAATGAACCAAGGGTGGAAGATCTCTTTCTGTCTGTCTCTCCCTCTTTTCCTATTGCTCTTTCAATAAAAAAATAATAATAATAACAAGAAGAAAAACAAAAAACTCACACCTCCCTGTGTTCATAATAATCACACTGTCCCTTCACAGTAAGGGACACCTGTTGTTGCGGCATTTGGAGCTGTAAGAGGGAATCACAATCCAAAAGGAAGAACATCAGCATTTTCAAGTGTATCTGATGCAACATCTGTGCTTAGACTGTGAGTAGAATACGGACCGAAGTACTGCATTCTGCCTGCAAATATTTAGGAAGCCGAGTGAGTGGAACTATAAAGAACGCCTGTAGACCTCCTTTAGCTTGTGGATCTTTAATTCTTCCTGGAGCTCAGTGTGTGCTGTGCAATGTCCTTAGAATAAATAGCCACTACAAGAACCTGGACATCTCTGGAAAATAGCAAACATTGTGAACTGGTCCAAAGAGCAGTATCAGTCCCACCATCACACAACATACTAGAGGCAACGTACCATGATTGCTAGGAAGTCAAAATTTCCTCTCCTCTTGTACTTCTGCCTCGATAAAATCATCTACTATTGTCAAATTCTGCTGGGAGTTTTAAAATCAGCTTTTACCAATTTAAAATGGACTATTATCCTTTGAAAAGAACCAAACATTTCTCTACTAATAACCATGCATACTTTGATGAATCTTCTGAAAAAAAAAACAACATTGTGGTTAAAGATTCTATTCTAACTTCTGGAAGTTTCCTTCTCCCAGCATCACTGTCTGTAGTGGGCAGTCTTTTCAGTACTTACAAGAGAGCGGGAGCTCTGCCGGGATGGGGGCAGAAACTGTCTCACGTTGGTGGGTGTCTCCTTCTCGATGGAATGCCTTCTCTGGGGCGGCTGCCGTCTCTCCGGCTGGGGTGTTGATGAGATGGGCAAGAATTTCGGAGGCTCTGCAGATGCAACCAGATGCAATGAACTCTCTCACAAAACAATTTAGATTCTGCATTTCCTAACAAAGCATCCTTTGTTGTGTGAGACAAACACCACATTCCAAGATGATGTATTTACTTCAGTGGAGAGAGACGTTAAAGATGCAGGGAAAACACTCAAGATTGTTGGAGGAATGTCTGCCAAGATAGTAATAGCAAGGAAAAAAGCAAAAATGTTCTGTATACTTAGATTCAAGCAAACCCAAACACAAAGGTGTGAATACAGCCTCCGGTAAATAAATGCATGCCCATTTTGAGAACTTAAAATCTCAGGTATTATTTTTAAAAATGCATCCTCCTTTTACATTCTCTTATAGATAAAGGCCAATGGTGTGGCACAGTAGTGTAAGTGTCTGTCTGCCACACTGGTGACCCATACGGGTGCTCATTTTTGCCCCTGCTGCTTTACTTTCTGCTCCAGCTCCCTGCTTATGGCCTGGGAAAGCAGTGGAAGACGGCCAAAGTCTTTGGGTCCCAGAACCAGTGTGGGAGAACCAGTG